TGTGTTTTTCATTTGTGTGGTGGCAACTTTAAATTGAGTTGTAAGCACTTTGGTCTCTTAACGCTCAACCAGCTAATGTTAGAAATGTTAGAAAGCATAACATTTCAGAGTGGTTTTATTTCATAAAACCCTTTGTATTCTTTGGTGGTTTGAGAGAATATTTGAAATGAAGCACTGAGATTAGCCTGTAGTTTGGAGAAAATGTTTTAACCTAATCTTCAGAACTTGATTTTGGTTGATGAGCAGAAGATAACATGTATACATTTGTGACTTTTCAGTGAAATAAATGAAGTGTACTTAAAGAGTCAGAAAGAAAATCTCTGACCCACTATTATGAACAAGTACTACCTAAAAAGAATGTTGTGAAAATTTAGGAACTTTGAACCACTACACAATTATACTTGCTACATTCTTTTTCTTTTTTCTTGTTTTTCAAAGAGAGGGACTGAGGGAGGGAGGAAGGGGAGGGGTAGAGGGAGAGAGAATCTCAAGCAGGCTCCACACCCAGCACATGAGCCCAGTGCGGGGCTTGATGTCATGACCCTGAGATCATGCCCTGAGCTGAAATCAGGAGTTGGACGTTTAACCGACTGAGCCCCCCAGGAGCGCCCCCTTGCTGTGTTCTCATGTTCATTTCATCTTTGTCCAAGTCTGTTACTGCCAGTAGATTTTGAGTTATCTAGAGGCATGCATTTATTTGTTCATCGTTTAATTCTCAGCAGCTAGCGTCTGCATAGTAAAGATTCATTTCGTGTTCATTGACAATATTTTTGAATGTCAACGTCATTGTTAAATCCAGGCACTGGGTGCAGGTGTCTGTGTATGAATCTGCATAGCTGCATGGAATTTGTCTGTTTTAACCTTTAAAGACTTCTTTTTTTTTTTAAGATTTTATTTATTTGACAGAGAGAGACACAGCAAGAGCAGGAACACAAGCAGGGGGAGTGGGAGAGGGAGAAGCAGGCCTCCCACTGAGCAGGGAGCCCGATGTGGGGCTCGATCCCAGGACCCTGGGATCATGACCTCAGCCAAAGGCAGACGCTTAACAACTGAGCCACCCAGGCGCCCACCTTTAAAGACTTCTAAGGTGATGCCTGAGTGCCTCCCGCTGCCCCGCCCCCCCAACATTTGAACTTAGCCAGTCATCATTCAGTTCTACCTTAAATTCGAAAATGGTGTCATTTGTATGTTTTGGGTTTGTTTTTTTTTAACTTAAGATGATATGTATATTTTCTTTTTACTAACGTTTTTGGGATTCTCTGCTTTTATGTCCTGCCATCACAATAGACAAAATATACCATAACATTTTTATTACCGTTTCCTTGTTCATAATGGTAGCATTTTTGTATTAAGTACAGAATTTTATTTTATTTTTTAAGATTTTATTTACGTAATCTCTGTACCCATCCTGGGGCTTGAACTCACAGCCCTGAGATCAAAGTTGCATACTAACTGAGCCAGCCAGATAACCCCCAAGTACAGAATTTTAGAAAAATTAAGCTGGAAGAGCCAGAAAATTCTGCAAATGAAGAGCAATGATGGTGGGATGGTTAGATCAACTAGATATTAAAATATAATATCAAGCTTTAATAGTTAAAACCGTGTGGCACTGGCACATGAATAAACAGGTCAGTATATCAAAATAAATAGAAAGTGCTGAAAGAGATCTAAATGTATATGGAAATTTAGTAAGTTATCAGAAAGACATTTAAATCAGCGGGGGAAACCACAGTCCTAAAATGATATTGAGGCCACTTGGTAAACATCTGAAAGATATTAGGTTAGATCCTTTTCTTATACCTTACACCAAAATAAATTCCAGATGGAGCATAAGTGTAAATGTAAAATTATGAAACCATAAAAGTACTAGGAAAAAAACATGAATGTTTTTATAATATTTGAGTGATAGTGACTTTTAAAAATTACATTGCAAAACCTCAGACACCATTTTTAAAAATGATGAGTTTGACCACTTACCAGATTTCCACCTGGTGAAAGAAAATGGCATAGTCAAAAGTCCCATAAACTAGAAAAGTAAAACATATTTTGCAAACTAAGGATGAATTTCCTTAATACATAAAGTTTTTCAAATAGTAAGGTCGGAAATCTAACAACAGAGTGGGCCAACATTATGGGAGAGGAAATACAAATTGCTTTAAACATATGGAAAGCTTTGTGATGCAAATTAAAACCACAATGAAATGCCATTTCTCAGATTGGCAGAGATTGAAAGTTTCGATTGTACACTGTGTTGGTAAGGATGTGGGGAAATGAACACTTGTGTCCATATGTTGCTAATGGAAATGTAAAATGGCACAACTTCTATGGAAAATAGTTTTGTGCTATAAAACATAAAAACCCTGACATGCATCAATTTCAATTCAAGGAATTTATCCTAGACATTATTCACAAATGATAAATGTCCAAGAATATATTTTCCCAAATGGTTATAACCATTTTAAACCTGCAGTATCCATGTTCTACATAGTCCAAATCCTTGCCAGAACTTGTTACTCGGTCTTTTTAATGTTAGCCATTCTGGTGGGCGTTCAGTGATATGTTACGGTTTTAATTGGCATTTCTGGTAACTGATGCTGAATATATTTTCAGGTGCTTATTAGGCATTCATCTATATTTGGTGCCTTTTTTTTAAAAATGGATTTTTTTATACTTGAGTTGTTAAGTTTTTTTTATGTGTTTTGGATACAAATCTGTTTTCCAGTATATGTTTTGTTAATATTTTCTCATAGTCTTTGGCTTGCCTATTTATTTTCTTAAGAGTTTTTTGAGTACAGTATATAATTTTCATGAAGTCCAGTTCATCAGTTGTTTGTTGTTTTTTTTTTGTTATGGTTAATGCTTTTTTGTGCACTAATAAATATTTTTATACTCCAGGGTGAAGAAAATTTACTCCTTTTTTTCTCTGTAGAAGTTTTATATCTTCAGCTTTAATGCTTAGCTTTTTTCCCCTCAGCAGATTTCCAAATGCTCTATAACCCAAAACAAAAATAAAGAAGATTTAGACCCATCGCTTTAGACTGCTGGTTTTTCACATTTGTCAACAGGGTCAGCAGCACATCATGCTGCCACTTCCCACCAGTAAAACAATTTCTGAATTAATGGATAGAATGACATTGCTTTTGATAAGATAGATATCATTGAATATCGGGCTTTATTGCACCTACTAATTATGAATTCATCTCTAAAGAATCCTATGTTAGGAATTTTCATGTTGGATGAGTACGTGGACCACCTGGAGCTGCCCCTCATGGATGGCCTTTCCTGCTCCAGGGTCGCCAGGCGTCAGCAATGCCATGAACGGTCTGGGCAGGTCAGGGTCAGGCACCCGAGTTCTAGTCTCCCTCCGGTCATGCTCTCTGTCTTAGCCAGCAAGCATTCCCATTTCATCTAGAATATAGCCCGAAACATGGATTTTGAGGCCTCACGGAATCTATCCCAACCTTCTTTCCATTTCTGCAGTACCCTATTTCCTGTTCCTCGGGGTGATCTCATACCAGGCCCCACTCTGTGTCCTCGTTTATCTTGTTCCCTTCATCTAGATTATTCTCATTCCTTTTCATCCTGCCCTAGACTTAACTCCAGTCATCTGTTAAATCCCCGGTAAAACTCCTCATCCCCCTTGACCTGTCTCCCAGCCCCTCCGGCAGGAGCTGGTTCGCATACGCTTTCTTCAGTTATGCTCTCCGCCGTTCACTTGTGGCCTTCTGGATGCTCCGAGTGCTGGGAGGGTGTGGTGTTCCTTGTATATCTGAGTGAGGCTTCATACAGTGACCTGCACAAAGCAGCAGGTTAAAGGGCCTGTCTGATCAAAAGGTATGTAACAGTGCTGGGTCTCTAACAGCAGTACTCTTGGTAGAGGGTTTTGTGCTGGAACGTGTTTTTCAAACTCTGAGGTTGTGACCCACTTGCTGTTTGTAAAAGCAGTATTTATGGTTCAAGAGCATCATTGAAAACTGAAATGGAGTAGGATAGGAAGCAAAAGATTACATAACACGGGGAAGCATTCTGTGTAACAGGTTTGTTTCTGGTTCTTTATTTGCATATATGTTTGCTAGGTGGTGATGTAAAGTGTACTTCTTACTATGGGTTGTACTAAAGAGAGTTGGAAAATACTACTGGATTTTAACCTCCATAATGAATTTTGAATTTCAGAAATTTAAAGAAGAGATATTTGGAATTTTAATTAACTTTGATGCTTCTGAAAATTTTCACTGAATGATTTCCCGTAATTTGTGCCATCCCCTGTTGATTGTCTACCAGATTACCTGTAGGCAAATGATTTTTTTCTTCAGCATCTAGTGTGTAGTCTTCGTTTTAGATTTGGAGTACATAATTGGGTTATAAATATATAAATCATTTTTGCTAAATGGCATTTTTGAAGAAATTTGAGAGGATTATTATCATAGAAGTTTACCTAAAATTTCTGTAATGATTTTTAAACTTCTTTTAATTTACATTTACCAGTTTAGAGTGTTCATGAAAGTTTCTGGACAAAACAGTACTTTTTAATACATCATCATGGAATGAGTATTATCAACTGAGTCCACAAATGAAAACATCCTGAAATTCCATTTTGGAAAAGAAGTTTGCTCCAGATGTAAATTGTGATGCTGTCATACGTGGAAAGACATTTCACTTTGATTTCAAAACTGGGTATTCTCTGCAGTCAGCTCAGCAAAAATCATATATTAAATATTTCTTCAAAAAGAAAGTAGAAACCCGAATCTTCCAGATCAATACAGGCATCACAAGTAGTGATGCATTACTTTTAGAGAGCTTTTGAATCAAGTGTGCATTCTTGGGATGGGGAAGCATTTCCTAGAGTCGCTTAGTATTTACAAGAAAGCTGTTTCTGGTTGACTTTGTTTAAACTGGTGATTAAAACCTTTCCTAGAACTCTGGAGCCTTGTAACCAGGAAGTTACTGTGTTTGTAATGCCTGTGTTTTTGGTTTTTTTATTTTCCTTCACTTCTCTTTAGGGTCAGTATAGACCTTCTGATTTGTTGTGTCCTGAGACGTATGTTTGGGTGCCCATTGAGCAGTGCCTGTCTTCGCTTGATAACTCCAAGTACTGCCGTTTCAACCAGGACCCAGAAGCAGGTATGTTCAGAGCAGAGCTCTGCCAGAAATCGTTGACAGTGTTTTTAGGTTCCATGTATGTGGTTTTTGGCTCTTCATAGGTAGCTTTTTATCTATTGTAGAATGTGCATGAGTGTGTGTGTGTGTGTGTGTGTGTGTGTGTGTGTGTGTCAGCGTGTGACAGGATGATAACGTGTGCATGCATACAGCACTCTCACTTTGGGAAATAAATGCAGAAACCTCCTGTGCTTCTGCTCCCTACTAACCCATCTTCTTCTATTACTATTGTTATATGCTTTAAGGGCTGATACCACTTTCCATTTCTTTTTACAACTATCACAGTGCATAAAAAAAATTGCTCACTAGATTGTTTAGCTAAGGTAAAGAAGATAGAAATACTGACCAGTTGGACTAAATAAAGTTGTGGAATGGTTTCCTGAGGGCCAACAGGCTGGGATGGGTTTTGTGAAAATGCTTTCTTATTCTTCGTGTGTGTCTGTGTGAGACAATACTTTGTTGACTTTCTTCATACATCTCTGGTGCTTCTCCTTTTTTGTCCCTTCTTCCACCTCCTACGCAGTAGAGCCCTAGCCGTATTTGATCTCCTTAGTGTTCCCCATTTGGATACTCTGTGCACTAGTAGTAGGCACAGACACTAAAAGTATAGCCCCGGGGTCAGACTTCCTGCATTTGCATCCTGGCTCCATCATCGGCCTGTAAATTGTGGCCCTTAGGCAGTTTCATCATCTTCCTGGCCTTCAAAATTAAGATAATGATAGAACCTACCTTCTTGAGCTGTAATGAGGATTAAAGTAAGACAAACATGCTGAGAATAGTCCTGTATTACTGCTGAGTTGGTGGTTGCTAGGCAGAGTAGCCCCCTGGATCCCGTATCCTGTGCCACAGGCTTTCGTCGCATCTGCCTTTATTTGGTCTGATTCTTGTCTCCAAAAAAATGGGCAGTTCTACTCACCTCCCTTTTGTCTAGACCCCCCTCAGTTTACAGCAGTCTCCCTCTACACAGCCCTCCTCACCCTGCCTGCGTTCTGCTGAGGCTTTGTTCATCACCTGTGAGTTGTGATGCTCTCGTGATGGGTTGCATCAAGTTCCCCTGCGTGTTTTTCCTCAGACTGAAGTTCCTGGGTGTTCCTCTGTGTGCTTCACTGAGTTCTGACTCCTCCCAGCCCACCAGAGGAGATGCCTGATGCACCATTAAGAATAAAATATTTTTTATCTAGTCATCTATGGTCTAAGCTTGGAAAAAAATCAGAAAAGAGAAGTGGAAAGACCAGGGGAGGGGAAGGGAGTAAATGGAAAAATCAAATAGGAAGACAAAAGGGACAAGAAAAGAAATGCAGTAATTTCTTCTGTTCTAAGATGTGCATTCCGCCCCCCCCCCCAGTCAGGCTTTTTCTTACAAAAAAATTGGTTCGTGTTCCATTGTATTTTGGTATCTCCTTGAAAAGCTGTTATGAAATCAAGAGGGGGCACTTCTTACACATGATGATAGCTTAAAATCTGATGAAGATTGGCTTTGGAATCCACCTGACTCCTAGGCCAGGCACCCCAGGGTCACCCCCAGATTTCCTAGGTATTTGGGTTCATAGAGCAAACCATGGTTTTATAGGTCTTGCACCTTCAGTTGTTAATCAGGATTCCATTCTTTGTTTCTAAGTGAAATTACACCTGACTGATCAAACAGATGTGTTGCTTAAAAACAGACCTATTGAATTTGTCAACTAGTGTTTGAGTCAGGCTCAAAAGGAAAAGCAATAATAAGTAGTTTAGAGGAAAGCAGATACTTAATCCACTGTCCCTTCAAAAAAGATTTTTTTCCCCTTCTAGCAAATTTTCTCCAGGGTGGCTCAGAGCCATTCCCTTACGGTGAAAACTGCTAACCATCTTCACTGTATTATTTCATGTTCATATACAGAAATTTGTAAGTTCCTTCCAACTAAATAAAATGATCATGAATTGGTTTCTGACTCCCAAACTTAAGACACAGTTTCACCTTCCCCTTTTTCTTTCTTTTCTGATCTGTTTTAAAGTTTCCTTCTTTTATATAATACCTGGAAAATAAGGCCATCACAGGCTTTCCCTGTTCTATAAAGTTGAAAAGGTAACTGAATACTTTCCATGCACTGAATGGACATTCAAGTAGAGATTCATTCATGTTAATAGGTTCTAAATTTATTTTCGAAAGTAAGTATAAATGAGCATTTCATGGCAAAATTTGAAGTCTCGTTTCGATGGTGTGACCGTGGTGAGTGAAGAGTATGTAGTATGCTCTCCTCCTTTAATCTATTAAATTACTTTTCTTACGGCACAAGCTTTAGCTCTTAATATTCATTGTTTAGAATTCATTTACAAAAGTCAGAGGAGTAAATTTCTCCAAGAACAGTGCTTCAAAGAAAAGGAAGATCCTTTTCCATATGCTGAATCTTTGCAACTTTCAAGAGAACACCCCCATACAGTTTTATCAGTATTGAATATCACAGTCCAGACACTATTTGAAATCAGACTTCTATCCTGTGGTTTTAGGAAATTAAAATGCAGTTACATGCTGGAGTGTATTGAGCATGCTGTGAAACATGGTCATTTGAGATTTAAATGGCAATCTGTGAGAAACTGTTCTCTTCTCTTGGGCCAGTTTTACTCTTACGTGACCCAAACTCTGACTCAGACAAAATACAGAGCTTAATATGGACACCATTGTTAGTCGGCATGGCGCTTTTTTTCCCCCACTAAATCTTGTTTCTTCTCCCAGCTTTTCAGTAGTTAAATTGCTCTACAGAAGGCACAACTGATCACCACAGGTCCCTCTAAAACAAAGCTTGGCTACAAGGTGCATGGGGGCCACTTGTAAGAAAAATTACATTTCCCTCTATCCTGAATTGATGTAAGCCTCTGGAAACCCTATTCCTCCCTGCCCTTGACCTCCCCCTCCCCCACCTCCCACATTTTGGAGGTTTGGGTTATATGGTTATTTACTTAACTAGGAAGTCTGCAGAATGATAAAAACCTGTTGTATTTACTGCTTTACTGTATGGTGGGGGGGGGGAGGGAGGGGCTGACAAACAAGCCACCTGAAAAATTCTAAAGACGTCCCTTTGTTCACGAATCGGTCTTTTGTTTTTGAATTCAGGACCTCTGCTGACTCTAAAGAAAGGATTTTAGAGGGTTCTCACTTGATTTTTAAGTAAAAATCTGTTAGATTGCTTATTAAATTGATAGTTGGATATGTATAGAATTCAAAAATTCTTCATCACAGTTACATTTTGCTTTTCTTGTTTTAAATTATCTTTTAAAAATGTTTACTGCGAATAGTAGTAGATTTATCCAAATGCAATAAAACCGCTGGTAAGAAGAAATTGAAATGACCCTCCCATCTCTCTATACAGCAGTAATCACTGTCAGTGTTTTTATGCTCTCCATCTGATCTTTTTTTCTCTGCATACCTCTGTGTACATTTTTTTAAAAAACAGAGCAGGAGTCATCCTTCACACTTTTGTTTTTGTTTTTACTGAATGCTCTGTGTTGCTTCTTCCTTTTAGTAAGGGAAAAAACTACTTGACCACTGATCTGGGGTTTCAGCAGATAAATGCCAGTAATTGGGCGATAGGCTGTGTCCAACACAGATATTTACAGACGGCATTGACAGAGTAAACCAGGTGTTTTGGAGTTGGTTTTAGAACCACGATAAATTATGATTTGATTTGACTCTTAATGTTGTGCAGGTGCTGTACTATTGTTGGTAGTAAAATCCTTTTGCTTCCAGATTTATAACAAACGACAACTTCACCGAGCATATATTATTTTCAAGTATCATCCTGTGGTTTCTCCTGGGTGACCTCAGTTGATCCTCAGAACGTGATGGAATTTTTCGGCACTGACCCCCTCAGATATCATTTATTGGGAAAAATACTTGTTTTTAATCAGAGATTTAAAATAATTTTAGTTCAAATATTGCTCTCTCATTTTTATAAGTAGCTATTTTTAGTATTGACTTCAAAGGAGCTAACTAGAATGGTCTTTATTCTGTCTCTACTGGTAATTACAGCTATATAGTCATTTTTACCACAGATTAGTCTAGATTTCACTCCCTTTTCTGTACATACTTTGAAATGTTTGTAAGAAATTTTCTAATTTGTTTAAGTCATAATATTAGTAAGGTTATTGAATTTAAATTTACCATAAAAATAATGGCATCTAATTTTATCTTAGTGCTTTATGCATTTGCCCAGGTTAGAGAATTTCTAGGACATTTTACCTCTTCCCAGCCAGTTAATGAAAATCCAAGTGTAAGGAGCTTTCTTCTGGTTTGAACCCCTGAAGTTCCAAGGCTCTAGTCTGTTATTTTATGTTGTTTCATTTGTCTCTTTACTCCATTCTTCTTTCTTGCCGGCATGGTTCCCTGGAATTTTTCTATACTTTTGTAGTCTCTGTCACATATGCCCATGGAAAAAGCAAGTCCCACTCTGACCGTGTGTGAAATAATCAGGTTCAGAAAGAGCTCTGACCTATATTTGCTCACCTGGTTTCTCCAAGCCTGGTATCACTTCCTGAATACTGTGTTCATGGTCCCTCAAAAGGGCATACCTTAGCCACAGGGTCACCCTGATCACTGGGAAATAATACATAATGAGAAGACAGATTTACCAGAACTTCCAAGGGCCCCTAAAAATGTGCTGCAGTGGTAACTTATAATTATAAGTGGACAGTGTCTTTCTTTATTATAGGTATAGAATTAAGCTGGCTTTGAGGTTGACCTACCTACTTTGATAGTGATTGTTGGATACTTAGGAAACATACATTCTTTGTTGCCAGTAAAGATGGTGGTCCTGGGATGTGTAGCCAGGTGGAGAAAGAACCATTGTCTTTGGAAAAGTGGCTTTTATATTTGGTGACTCTGGAGATGTGTTTTGATGTGGAAAATATAAAAAGTTACAGTCTTTTTTTTTTTTTTTTTTTTTAAGATTTTATTTGTCAGAGAGAGCACAGGCAGGGGAAGCGGCAGGCAG